GTATGGGTATGCGGCGTCTGTGTTATGTCATGCATGTATGGTGCATGCATGTGTGCATGCTGCTGCTATGCTGTGTAGTGCATGTTGCTGCATGTCGCATAAGTGTATATGTTGTGGCGCGCGTGCGTATGCGTTGTATGGGTGTGTGTGTGTGTGTGTGTGTGCGTGTGTGTGTGTGTGTGTGTGTGTGTGTGTGTGTGTGTGTGTGTGTGTGTGTGTGTGTGTGTGTGTGTGTGTGTGTGTGTGTGTGTGTGTGTGTGTGTGTGTGTGTGTGTGTGTGTGTGTGTGTGTGTGTGTGTGTGTGTGTGTGTGTGTGTGTGTGTGTGTGTGTGTGTGTGTGTGTGTGTGTGTGTGTGTGTGTGTGTGTGTGTGTGTGTGTGTGTGTGTGTGTGTGTGTGTGTGTGTGTGTGTGTGTGTGTGTGTGTGTGTGTGTGTGTGGGTGGGTGGGTGGGTGGGTGGGTGGGTGGGTGGGTGGGTGCGTGCGTGCGTGCGTGCGTGCGTGCGTGCGTGGGTGGGTGGGTGGGTGGGTGGGTGGGTGGGTGGGTGGGTGTTTGATTGTGTGGTTGCGCGTGTGTTTTACTGCAAGTTTGTTGTCTGAGCTAGCGTTTTCGCATTAGAGGGAAGCCATATTTCGCCGGCGCAGCCGTGTACTCAAAACCTACCAAGCTGAACCCGTGATTGGGCACATTGTGGACGATGTGTCAAGTTTGAGTGTTATTACATGTGTCTGTCCATACTAGGTTCCTTTTAAGTTCTACTTAAAATCATTGTTGGCAAGCAACTCCAATGCAAATCGAACTCAAAAGTAGAATTATGTCCAAACTAACTAGAAGAAACAAGCAGCTTGTCTTTCCTTACCAGATACTATTGAACATATAGGTAAACTAATTACTTGGAAAATGATTCCTCTTTCATCTCATGGAACCCCAGAGTGATTCAGAACTCACAGTTACGGTTCATCAGAGCATGCCGACAACTTGCTCACATCAAACCTCATCATAAGAGGTGCACTACCAAAGTCCCCCAGTCTCATCTTAGGGCTTTCAACCCGGGCAAGCAAGTTAAGCTCGACTTCACCATACCACAAGGGTAGCGCTTGAGTGTCCAGAAGTGAAGTGGGAAAATTTATCGGGCTTCTGAAAAACCTGATAACCCAACGGCCTGCGCAGACTAGGCATGGGGGGCATGGGGTCTGCAGTTTTGCTTTCTTTTTCTCAAACAACTTGAGTGCCAGAATTCGCAGGATTTTGGACACCTGCCGAAACCCAGGTCCCATACCCTCCCCCTTTGAGCATGTAGTATGTGGAAGGCCACTGGGGAGATGCTCAGCACTCTGCAGAAGCAGAGCAAAGCCTCTCACTTCCAAAGGCGGAGCCAGCCAAAACCATGGCCGTGTCCAGTACCTTTGGGACTTCAACAGAAGGGTGTGGATCATGGGGGTGACCATGTATATGTTATATACACACCATATAATTTTACATATATATATATATACATAACAGGCCAATAAGACAAAAGGATATCGCCTTGTGGTACAGGACTTCTTCCGCCAACCCGATTCAATCGCCCGGCTCCGTGCCTCCCGGATCTCTGCGCCGATCTGCTCTCTGACCTAAAAACCCGGACCCAGGGCTGCTTGCCGTCGTCGCGACGAACGCAGGTCAGCCCTACCCTTCATTGGTGGTGTGGGTTGGTGGTTCGGGGATTTGAACCCCTGGTTCTTGTGGGAGATTCAAACCACCGGTGTCCTAACCTTCAAACCACCAATCCAAACCATTTTAAGGGAAGCTGAGTGGTCTGTGTCTTAAACAAACCAGGTCGCCTGCATGCAACGCATATGATCCTTCAGTCTTCGAGTTCCAGCTCCAAAATCCCATCCCAGGAATCCAAGCCCGCTGTTCGGAGCAAATCATTGCCCTCAAATAAATTATTAATTTTATGGATCGGGACTCCACGGCCTCTGGGCCCTCCGCCGCCTTGACCTCCCGCTGCTCCAGCTCAACGGCCTCAGAGCAAGGAGGGATGGAGGGAATGGAGGGAAAGAAGGGAAAGAAGGGAATGGAGGGATGGTGCGCGTGGATCATCCAAGGTCAATTGGCGGTTTTGACCAGTGAGTTCTTGCGCTGGCACTTGGACTTTGCTCTGCAATGCAAACCAAGCCGCACCCTCATTTGGCAGTCGCTGGAACCGGCGAGAAACGTGCAACGTGAAGCCGGCCCTGCCTCTCTGGCCTCAAGGTAGGGGATCCGCTGGTTCCGCATCTTCTCGATGGTCTCCTTCGATGCTTTGCCGATGCGCCAAAGGAGGTGGAGCTATCTGGACGTCAGCGGAACGATGCCAGGCATGATTCAACCACATGTCTCCTCTTACTTTCAGGTTGCAAGCACGTAACTTGTAAAGCAATCAGGCGAACTTGCTAGTCTTGTTCAAGGTGAGCTTGAAGCAGAACATCCTCAACTCGCGGCTGAAGCACTGACACAAGCCGTGTGCTGTCATTTGTCGAGCGTTCAAATCTTCTACGCTTTCTTTGCCGATGCGTGGTAGCATGGCCCATCTGGCCAAGTCCACAGCTTGTCGGGCGGGTGAAAAAGACCTCCCTCGAGATCTACAAAAGGAACTAAGAGGTGCCAGGCAGATGCTTTGGCCTTGGCCCGGGTGGGACCCGGGTCGATCTCTCACTCGCACATGTCGCTGGCGTTGATGGGTGCGACCCTGGGCCAACGCCATGTGCGAGCAAACCCGAAGCCCATCTTCCAAGCTGTCTGGCCTTCTGCCCTTCTCTCTGGCTGGGCCAAAATCTCTCCAGAGCACACAAAGGAGCACTTGCACATCCTGCAGGCTACAGGCAAGATATCTTCAGTCAACGGGCCTTCTGGCTTATGAATGCGATGAGAACTCATACATGTTTGTGTGTGTGTGTGCGGGTGTGCGTGCAAACTCTAGGGGCAGGAAGACGTAGCGCTGCTCTTACGATGCCCAAACAACCTCAAGGGCACTCACTGACTCACGCCTCTCCAGATATGCAAGCAGGCAATGTGTGTGTGTGTGCGTGTGTGACTGGCAGACTCTTTTGACGACCGGATGTTGAACGGGCAATTGGAAAGCAGGTATTCATAACAAGCAGGTGGAAAGCAACAACTATTGAAATGTGGCTGATGCATTCAGTGCACTTGGCACAACAATCTGAATGATCGTTTACCGAAGGGCCGTAGAACCAACTTGCCGACGAGTTGTTTCCTGGCATGTGCTCTACTGTTGATGTGGCACTCAGAGTTCCATCCCTGTGTAATGGTAACATATCTTTGGAGTTGTGGCTTACAACGCGAGACATGGAGATACCGAGATACCTATGGATCTTGCAACCTCGGCAGCTCTGGCGGTGTTGCGTCCTGAACTCCAGCAAACATCCAAACCGCTGCGCTGAAAGGGATCACAAGTTGCAAAGTACGCTCATTTGATCAGCATGAGTCATCCATGATACAATTTATTTGTTGTGTGTCTAATTCGTTATCTTTGTCTGAAAAGAAACATGGCCATGGGTCAAAAAATACCGTACTCCCAGTGAACATCCGGATCCCATTGGTTTTGACCTGAAACGAGCTAACTTTTCCACCCCCCCCCCTTGTTGGCCAAGCGGCTGCACCGGCCTCTTCATGGCGTCCCTGCGGAAGGGCTCGCCCAGCTCCTAGAGAACATCTGCCGTTCCGATGGATGCTCCCGCTGCTTCTGAACCCCTACCCCATGTTCAAGTGTGTTTTTCTTTTTGGTAGATATCAAAAGAACGACCTTCCGAAAATGGAACCAAGCATGCTGCGAGATTCTTCTTGGCACATTCTGTGTGCCTGTAAGAAGCAAAACCTATGCGAGCAAGCTGTCCAGGGAATTTGATGTCGGATCGAACCAGAATGCAAAAAAGAAAACAGAAACACCTCACAGGGCTCCTGGTGTTTCTATTCTTTCTGCCTCTCTTCCTCCGTGACTGGTAGACAATGAATCAACGTGTTGCTGCTACATCGATCCTTGCCAAGGCTCCATTTCATGTCTTGCCGGTCGGGCATTCCTCAAACCAGCACCCCTGACCTTTCGTGTCTGTCCAATTTGAAGAAGGGTTGTTCGCACCGTAGAATCTGCATGCAAAGTGTATAAAGAAGAGGTCGACAAAGCACAGCAGTTCCTCACAAACACAAATATGAATATGGATCTCGCCCTTACAGGGAAAAAAGCTCTTTCGGACTATATGTCCTGGGCGGTTGCTGCTTGATTGAAGGCACAACATTAGTGGTGTAGCTATCCACTATACTCAGATTACTCAGGTGCTCGAAAAGCCCCCCAAACTCATGGTTTACATCCCCGTATGCCAGTTGATATATCGCATGGTACGCGCAGTCGTTTGAGCCGAACGTTTGTTCGGACCATGCGTATACGTTGTTTCATTTACCCAAGCACTCGAAGGTAGACTTGCAGACATGAGGGAGAAGCTTCTTCAGCCTGTTCTGGAAACTGATGCAGCATGATCCCAGCTGCCTTAAGTTGTGATCTGACCTTTGAGGCCGCCACATGTTGTGTCTACCGAAGTGAAAAACGGGGGGGGAGGGGTCCGGCGTTGTTTCTTCGCCATACCCACGGGTGCCTGGTTCAGCAGCACCTCCACCAGGGTGGTCTCTCCCCGCTTCATTTGGCCCTCGATGGCTGAGCTCAACGCCTCGAAGCGGTCCCCGGCTTTCGTTGCAGATCTTTGGATCTGATCCCTTCAAACAAAAACTGATGGGATCCCTTGCCACGTCTGGCCCTCGCCCTTGAGACCTCCCTCCCTCCATGGCTGCCCCGCCTGCTCCAGCTGCTCTACCGACTGCACCTTCACGCCCTTCAGACCGCAGGCCCTGGCCATCTCCGCGTACTCCACGCCTCGAGTGAAGCCACGGCCACGAGAGCGAAACGGGCCCCAGACCCCGGGCCCGGCACGTCGGAGGGGCTCGGAAAGTAGCACCAAAAAATGAATATCGGGCCACAGTGTGACCCCTTGTGCAGCATACGCGGAGCCCATCAAGAATGAACATGCGTGGGTTTGCGGAACTTTAATTTCAAAAAAATGGGCACAGAACGAACCATGTATGTACTGATGCGAAAAAGACAGAACAAATGTTGCGGCACCAGGACAAGACTGCAAGGAAAGGCAAGTCAGTCCGAAGTTCGCTGCCTGTTTACAGCTTCTGATGTGAACCAAGTGTTGAGCAACGAGTGTGTCCTGTCAGCCCATTTTGCCTAGGTGTTTTGATATCCTGCCAAACAGTCATCTCTCCATGCAAATCCCAGAAATGTTTAATTCTCAAATGTGACAGTTTTGTTCAGCACCGTCAAAAAGACTAGGGCTGCGTCTCCCAATGCACTGTGCAATTATGTGACTGGTTTGCGACGTCTCAGGCTTGGCTGTTGTGGTCAGCTCCGCAATGATTTCTTGAGTGCTCTCCTACCAAAAGGGGGAATGGGCCCAAGCTTTCCAGCTGGCAAGCTTACACAAGCCAAAGGCTGTGGTACCTCGGACCTGCACAGATTCAAATGCCATCCACCCCCGAGCCTGCCTTTGTTGAGCTCAGTGCCCACAAAGTTGTCATCGTACCACCTAAGGACGAATGCCAAGGTGGAGGAAGAGATACCAAGATGTTTAAAGTCAAAGTTCTCAATGACAAGCTTTGGTTGTCTCCACTCTCAGCCATGCGTCGCTTAGGGTTCTTATTGAGTGTTCAGCTTGGGCACAGTGTGCAAGTCTGCGTGTGTGTGTGTGTAATGGCGGTACATCCTTCACTTTCTTATGTCCTCCTCTCATTCCATCCTTGTCACTCACCTTTACATTTTGGCGAAGTAATGCATGGGAGAGAGAAGTAGGAAATAGACCGGAAAAAATGGCGAGTGGAGAGAATGATGTCCCTTCCTGCATCATCTCCACGCCACCACTACGTGATCTAATCTTAGACGCAGGGTGGGACACATGAAGCAAAATCAACTACATCATTGATTGCCAAATCACGCCAGCAATCTTTCAAAACGTGCTTTGCGGAAGCCACCTTCAGACTGCACTGCAACCGTGCAGGCGCCGGCCGTCACATTTGCGGTAGAGCTTTTGTTGCAGACTCTTGAAGCTCGTCTTTCAGAAGCGCGACCACACCCACAACTCGAACTCAACCCCTTGTCCCACTGGAGCAGAACCGAGCCATCTGATCTCAGGCGCAGTGTGGTATTGCGCTTCTCCGCGCCCCACTGGAAGTTCCGGAAGACCACCATTGTCACTGGGGGCCTGAAGGCTTGGAGTACCAATCCGTGCTTGTGTAAGGAAAACAAAAACAAAACAAAAAACACCTTGTGTAGGTCCCCTAAAAAGAGACACACCCTCTTCGTCTTCCCATTCCACCCGCTTTCTTTTTAGCCCCCGTCAACCCCCAGGTATGCGTGATGCGAGCTGCCAATCGCCCCGTCCGCAGGCGGTGATTTCGTTCACGGAGATGCCGAAGGCGCCATCCCCAGCGAAGCCCACCACCGGCACGTTGGGGTTGCCAACCTACCGTGGAGCCAGCGGGAGTTGCTGGTGTTTTTTTTGTTTGATGGCACAACCAAGTATGTTGATCATGAATGGGGATGGTGTTGACGATTCTGGATACTTATAAACCAGTCTGGATACTTATGAACAATTCTAAAAGCTTATGGAGGGGTGTGGAAAGTAGATGGTGGTTGTTAGATGGCTATGAATGGCTTTGGATGGCGATGATACTCAGACGGGTGCATGTGGTTGATTGCGGTGGAGCAGTCCGGAAACATGTCGACCTCATCAGTTTTGCTGAGGGAAGCTAGGGTTTCAACTACGTCGTGGGGTCTGCTGCTGATCCTGTCTAAGATAAAGCTTCAAGCAAGATTTATTAGTTCGTAGGAGCAAAGGACTTGGATAGCCTTCGTTGCGGCCCCATTTGGACCTTGCATTTGTTTGAACCCATCAAATGAAGAAGAAAACGAGCCCTCCCGACACGAATCGTTCTCATCAAAAGCGCATGCGGCCCACGCCTTGGCTCCCAGGATGGAAGGGAAGCCATAGCCTCGGCACGTGTCGACGTGTAGCGCGCGTGGGGCTCCAAAGGGGCTGCGGTCCTCCCCGTGCCCAGCCAGGCTGCCGCAGGGCCCAAAGAGGCCCGGGGCCAGGTACTTTCGGGGCGATGAAAAAGAGGGGTAGGCGTTGCCGATGGCCTCGGAACGTCGGAAGGACGGGCAGCAGGCCGCCTTACTTGGGGTTGCAGTCAGCGAGAATTCAGGAACCCCAGATTCAACAGTCAGGTTTCAAACATCCTGGGGCAAATGTTGTGGGGAAAAGGAAGCAAGAGCCAAGAGTAAGTGAAGGCGAACTCAAACTTTGAGTTGTTCTTGGCGCCAGCGATTACCCTACTACTTGGTGTCATAACCCAGAGCAGCCTCTCAGATTGCAGGCTTGCAGAAGGCAGGCTCACAGACTGTAACATTTCTTTCTCTGGCACTGCATATTGATAGACCCTGCCTGGGGTTTTTGAATGGCGGATTGCCTCGCTGGTTGCGTTTCCTTTGCAAGGTGTCCAAATTGAAAAACACATGTTGGCTGAGCATCTCTGAAACCATCTCCCTGCTCAAGTGCTAAGCCAAGGGCGCAGTTGTTGCCAATGTCTGAAGACATGATCGCCTGAGATGCGTGGCTTCACATGGCTTAACCCTCCCAACTTCCAACGACGGCCAGCTGCCATCATATTCACCACGTGCCGCGCTCAGCAAATCGGGCTCTGATGCTTAGGGCCGCCCAAATCTGGATGTGTATGCGTGTGTGTGTTTTTGTGGTTTTCTTTTTCTGGGGACCCAGAAAATAGCGGTTCTCCTGTCGTTGTCCTTAAAGAAAAAAAGAGGGGGAACCCAGCCTCACTCAAGAAAACCACGCCCATCCGCCACCTCAAACCGGCGTCCGCGTGCTAGGCCGTGCGCCTCCTCGGGCATGACGCGCATGATGGCGCGCCAGGCTTGGCGCGGAGACATGAAGTCCGGCGCCGCCGTGCGCGCGCGCTGGTTCCAGGTGGTGCCCTCGTCGTCCTGCTCGTGGTCCAGGCCTTGGTACTTGTGGTGGAACCGTGTGAACCAAAAAGAAACAGCTTCAAGTCACATGCAACAAACCAGTAGAGCACCTCTCTTCGCAGAACGTGCCTCATGCCTGCCTCGCCGCTGCTTTCATCTCAAAAGTGCGCTCAAGCTGAAGGTTCGCAGAAGTTTCCGGAAAGCATTAATCCACACTTCTCTGTTTGCTTGGATATGTTGCTCCACCCTTGCGGCCTGGGTGTTATTCTTGGATCTAGGGTAACTGCTGGCTTTCCATTGTCTCTCCTTTAGATCGCCTGCGCCACTACTGAAGCGCCAAGCACGTCGCAGCCCCTGGCCATGCCCTCTGCGTGTCAGCTTTGAGCCTCGGGCTCTCCAGTTCAGCGGCCCAGGCTGCCTTCTTCTCCTCAAGCGGAGCACAGCGAAGAACCAACCAGAAAGTGGAGCAAATCCAGGCGGTGGTAAGATCTGAAGCACTGCAGTTCATGACAGATATACTAAGCACACCAATCTCGCACCAGTGGCCCAAAACTCAACAGTGACAAAAGAGAAACAAAGATCATCAGCACATATAACTTGACCAATCCATTGGGCGCATTTTAATATCAGGAATGAGAGCATGAATAATAAAGAAATATAATGTAGATATGAGATGGAATACAATATGTACATTAGTGGAACTCATGTTATTCCTCTCTTTCTAAGTAACTTCCACCATCAACATCCAAAATAGAAGTATAATAACATGAAGAAAGAACATGGTGGAACAGAGATAAAGCAATAATATGTAAAATGCCCTTATTCATTGTCTTCAAATAATATTATTTATATATTGTTATCTTCGCTTGGCTTTTTGCATAATAATTTCCTTCGCCAAGCTTCTATCTCTTCACTCCCTTACTCACATCCCAGCTTCTCCAAAAATCCAATATTAAACGCTGGGAAAAGAAAGGGTGAGAAGATATACTGGTTTTAGAATCTCTTGTCTCAGCACTTGGATTCTGAGGTAGGCAAGGGATAGGTAAGAAGGTCACCAAATATCTAACCAAATATCCTGTACACCTTCATTCCCTTCCTGGCTTCTCTATCATGCGCCCAATCCCGCCTTCACCAGAGCCTCCCGCTCCGCCCGGCCGCTCTTCCCGGCTTCCGGAGACAGCTGCTCTAGCAGCTGCTCCTTGGGCGACACAGTCGCTGGGTCAAGTGGCTGTGGGTCAAAACCCAGAAAACCCCTGCTAAGCATCAAATAGGTTATGCCCCATGGCCAAGTTGGTCTTTGCTAACGGCCCCACCCTTTAATCTACTTCTACCGGTGCTCATAATCAGTATGATCCACTCTTCTTGCTCGAGATCAGTCTTCTTGAGCCTTTTTTATTACAAAGACTGCCAGCTGCGCCCTCTTTGATCAGCCCCGAGAGCACAAGGCACCCCTGCCCTCTTGGCCAGGCGGCAGCTACCAAGCCTGCACACACGGTCGTACGGCCACAGGTTCAAAAACAAAACTTGCAAGTTGCACTAGTCAAAGATAACATGTGGGACAAACGCGTGCTTGCTCAGTTCTCAAGGCGAGACTCAGTGCAGCCTTTTTCAGTGTGCGTGTGCGTGTGCGTGTGCGTGTGCGCGTGCCTGTGCGCGTGTGCGTGTGCGTGTGCGTGTGCGTGTGCGTGTGCGTGTGCGTGTGCGTGTGCGTGTGCCTGTGCCTGTGCCTGTGCCTGTGCCTGCGCGTGTGCCTGGGCGTGTGCCTGCGCGTGTGCCTGCGCGTGTGCGTGTGCGTGTGCGTGTGCGTGTGCGTGTGCGTGTGCGTGTGCGTGTGCGTGTGCGTGTGCGTGTGCGTGTGCGTGTGCGTGTGCGTGTGCGTGCGCGTGCGCGTGCGC